TAATCGAGCACGTCGCTTTACGAATCCGAAGGAACGAATCGGCCCCCCGGCACCGGCCTTCGATTACTTTACCCTCCCTCCTCATAATTACGGCAATTTCCACTATTTATAGGTCGTTCGAGGGAATAAAAGGAGGGAGAGAGAGAGAAAGAGAAAGAGAACAAGTTTGAGTAGCAGAGATCGGCTCGAAACGGTCGGAAAATCAGGGGGCCCCCTCCGGGTGAATCGGCGGCAGCGGCAGTTCACAATTATGTTTATCGATACTTAGTATCGGCGCCATTACCGAGTTGGTGGATCGATAAACTGGACGACGCGACGCGACGCGTCTTTTCAAACAGATTTTTATCCGAGGGATATTATATTTTTTATTATATTTTTATTATTTATTTTTTATTATTAATTTTTCGAATATTGGGGGTCAGAGAGGTTCGTTATTCTCGATATATAGTTAATTATCCTTTAATCGAGCGTTTGGGAATATCTTGGTGAATGGTGCTTTTTTTTTTTGAAGAAATCTTTTTGAAAAATTGAAAAATTTTGAAATTGGAAAAAAAATTTGGAGGCTTGAGAATTATTGGGTTTGATATAAAAATATAAAAATGTGTACAATAAATCGCTCTGAGAATGAAAAGATCCTTACGTTATTTCTTTCGAAAAGTTTTAAATCGAATGTTGCGCGCGTCGATTCAAAATATTTTGCTCGAAATCAAGTTGAATCATCGATTTTCATATCTGTATTATTTTTCAAATTTTGTAGATTATTATTGACACGTATAATTGACGTGAAAATTATTAATTGCTTCTTCTGATATTTATTTATATAGATGCTTTGAAAATATTTTTTAGATATAAACTGAAATTAACAATTCTTTGCGCGACAACTTGGAAAATAATATTGTTACTGATTTAATCGAAAGGATAAAAGATAGTGAATTGATAGATGTAGTTTCTCGGAAAGAAAAAGTATTTTTATTAGAAAAGAAATATAATAAAAAAAGATATTTAATGCAATAACGTTTTTGAATGCAATTATCACGAGTAATATTACAGTAATAATAATAATAATAAAAGAGAGATCATAACCTCTTAAATATTTCTTTTCACGAAAAGGGTATTTGGTATTTGGAAAATGAACGGTTGCTCAAAAATGGCAAGTCGATGAGGTTGACATTGGCAGGGGAAACAGCCACGGGGAATTCTTTTACGTACCTCGAAATACCTAAAAGCGACGCCTGTTTAAATCACGAGATACGGAAACCTGTGATCAACTCTTCAACCTATCTGATTGTGGAATGGTTGTTGCGTGATGTGCGCGTCAAGAGAAAAATAATGGGAGGAATATGTAGGTTTCATTCTCGATTCGATGTAAGATTCCGATAAAGAAAGCCTTGGAAAAAGAAAAAAAAA